GTGCCTCTTCTTCGTTTGTTTGGTTTTGCTGATAAATAGCGAATTCCTAAAGCTGTTCAACCTAGGATAGGCAAGCAAACCACACAAATAATGATCGTCAGTGGTAAAAAATTATTACTTGGTGGTGTTCTATAGACTTTAACTTATGCTTAACGCTATATCATAAAGTTTTTTTTTACAAATTGTTTGTCAAATAAACAAAATCAATAATCCACTTCCACACATAATTATACAACAACAAAGGAAATCACATACACGATGAAACAGATTCGCATCAAGTTTCTATAAATTTTAAACATGTTAGGTACCTAAACAATAATTGGATACCTTCAATATATAATACGCGATTCTATTTTTGATCCGTTAGAATACAAATACCATTGTCTAAGCAATCGGATGATCGGATCCCTATAGTGGGAGTTTATAGCAATCATTATGCCAAATGGATCCATTGTAATATAATGAAACTCCTTTTTCCTTTTATTTGTGTACTAATAATAAGCAATGAAATTGTTTAAGGCATATGTTATCTCAAATAATTGATAATTAAAATTATACTATATTAATTTCTAATGAATCTATTTTATCTTTTAATTGACAAAAAATTATTAGTTTAAATATTCATTTAAGGAAGTTAAATGAGTATAAGTTTTCATTATTATAATCTTTAGTGGATAATAACAAATGCTTTGGATTAAACTTCTAATTTGGATTTTTTTTAAAATAACTTTCTTAAGAAAAAAATATATATTTGATGAACCAATAAGAAAGAAAAAGTGAAATATTACACTAAAACCTTTTTATTTGAGCCTATAAATATCGGATGTCACTGGACCACCACCATAGCCTTTGCTTCATTTTCCATTCATATTTAATCTGATTTCCTCTGATCTCTCTCRCTCTGAATCTAATCTAAAAACTCATCGCCGGGAACGGAGAGATGTACACCTCACTGGAAACGACTGCTCCGGCGACGTTGGAGAAACGAGGTATGTCCGAATTTCCTATTGAGATCGAATCTCGGTGGCAAAAATCCGACAGTTATGGATCTTCATGGTTTTTATTTACATGGTGGGTTGGTAAAATATTTTGAAAAGAAAACAGAGAGAAACATGGTTAATCTCATAACATCAAAAGTAGTTGTTTAATTGCTAGTTTAATTATCTCTAATTTTATGCCTAATGGGGGATTTAAGGCCATATCTTTTGATTTAAGGCCACAGTAAATGTTAAGATAATCATGCTTAGGTTCCTGATTTCTAATCACTTCTCTTATCGCATTTGAAGCTTGTGTGTATAAATTGTGTGGATGAAAACATATTAGTAGTTTTTGTTTTCTTGTTCTTAAGCTTTTAAGCTTATATATAGTTTTATTATGTAGTCGTTGGAACAGAATCATCGGAGAAAGACATGTCAATGACTGGGGACAAACTGATACTCAAAGGATTAAAATTTTACGGTCACCATGGAGCGATTTCCGAAGAGAAGACATTGGGGCAGATGTTTCTTCTTGACATCGATGCGTGGATGAGTCTCAAAAAGGCTGGTGAATCAGACAACTTAGCAGATACAATTAGCTATGTCGACATTTTCAGGTTAGCTTTTTTACCAATACCACTTAGTATTGAACAAAACATCCC